CCGCGCTGCCGACCAAGATCGTCTCCTGGTAGTAATTCTCGATGTACTGCTTTGGCGCCCCGTCCTCCAGGTTGCGTCCCGAGTAGATCACGACCTCCGTCCAGACCTTCACGTGCGGGCTGCCGAGCGACACCGTGTCGACCTGCTCGCCTTGAGCTGCTCTGCGGCGCAAGTCCTGCGCTGCGTCATCGTATTCTTGCCCCCGTCGAGCGCCGCAGTAGCTGTGTTCGCGGCGGCCGGGACCCCCCATCTCTGCAGCACCGCTGAGACCAACTCCGCCTGCTCTCTGGCCAGCGTGAGCGAGCGTCAAGCGCGCCGTGAGGTCCACCACCTGCCCCTCGTTGCGTGTCGTCGGTCGCCGTGCCTCCTGCTTGCCCAGAGGGTGGTCGTCGTCCTTGTGTGCGCTGGTCTTGCTGCCGGTGCTGCTGCGCCCCACTGCGGTCCCTTGTCGAACAGCGCCATCCTGCTCTCGAGGCTGAAACGCGGGCTCGCAATGGGGCAAGCGGGCCCCGAGGTGTTTCACCGTGTTCGGGCTTTGGGGGCCCTCCACGGGCCCCAGGACCGTCAGACATCAACTCGGGATGGAGAGCTGGGACTGGGGGAAGGCCCCAGGGTCCAGGACCCGCGTCCCCCATGCTAAAGCAGCCCTCGCTGTCTGGAACGCAGGCACGGCAGGGCGCGCGGGCACGGCGGCACCGCGTGCGAGGACTCAAGCCGACGTCCCTCGCGACCGTCGGCTCGTACCTCGCGGCAGTCGGTTCTCGGGCACCCGTTGCGCTGCTGCCACGGTGGCGCGCAGTTCGAGTGATGCCGTGCCTCGAGGGGTAGGGGGGGGCAGGAGGAGGAGGAGGAGGAGAAGGAGGAGAAAGAGGAGGAGAAAGAAGAGGAGGAGGGGGAGGAGTAGGAAGAGGAGGAGGAGGAGGAGGAGGAAGAGGAGGAGGAGGAGAAGGAGGAGGAGGAGGAGGAAGAGGAGGAGGAGGAAGAGGAGGAGAGGGAGGAGGAGGAGGAGGAAGACGAAGCGAAGCGAAGCGAAGCGAAGGCGCCAGAGCCGGGCACACTGGTGTGCCCGTGCCCTTTAGGGCATGGCGCAGGAGGCCGTGGCCTTACATCTCGTGCGAGTAGAAGTCGTGGGCGAAATACTTCAGGAACCAGCACACAAAGAAGGCAAGGATCGGGTTGACCCAAAAGGCGCTCCAGCGACAAGGGGGTGGTGCAATAGATTTGGTGCAATAGATTTGTGGGGTTGCAATACATTTGGGGCGTGCAACTCATTCTGGGGCGCAAATGTATTGCTGGATTTTCGCGTGCATCATATATTGATTTTAATACAATGCAATACAATTCTCCAGCGCAATACATTTGCAATGCAATTGTCCCAAATCTATTAAATCTATTGCACCACCCCCTTGCAGCTGGACCCCCTTTTGGGTCGCTCAGACAGGAACAATATGCGTATGAACCGCAAGAGAAAGAAGGCGTGGTAGAAGATGTTCGCGGACCAGATCATAATCGAATCGGTGCGGTAGGTGTCCTGGCTGCTGCTGTTGTGTTGCCGTTGGCGTATAATGACTATGGCCAGGGGCTGCCTGGCCTCAAAGAAACGGAGAATAGCTCGACGAGCTCGCCCGGCATGAGTACAGCAGGGCCGCATACGGTATATCTGACACCACAGGTCAGACGACCAAGAAAGAGGTAGATAAAGTGGCGAGCATCAAATGCCAGAAAACGACGCCAGGGCAAGCCGGCTGTGTGACACGAGTATGCCATAGCGCCAGTGGTAAAAGTGCCATTCAGAATGCAGCGGTACAAATTTAAGTGCTTCACCTTGGCACCCCTCGGGTCGCAAACGACGAAGAGGAAGGAGGAGAAGGACATGAGACAGAATAGTTCGATGAGCACGCCCATCATGAAACACAGCAGGGCCACATAAAGTATCTCTGACACCACCAGTCAGACGACCAAGAACCTTCGCCCACAATCAACAATATGAGTAGATGAAGTGACGAGCAACAGGTCGCAGAGCACGACGCCGGCGCAAGCCGGCTGCGTGACGCGAGTGCGCAACAACGCCAGTGGTAAAAGTGCCATTCAGAATGCAGCGGTACATATTGAAGTGCTTCACCTCGGCACCCCTCGGGTCGCAAACGACGAAGAGGAAAGAGGAGAAGGACATGAGGCAGAATAGCTCGATGAGCACGCCCAGCATGAAACACAGCAGGGCCACATAAGGTATCTCTGACACCACCAGTCAGACGACCAAGAACCTTCGACCACAATCCACAATATGAGGGGCAAGCCGGCAGCACCAGCCCTGTATGCCAAACGATTAGCTCGCAGAGCACGCCCAGCGCTGTGCATCCGCCAGGCCACATACGATCCCACTGGCACCACAGCCGGCCAGTCGATCGCTCGATCAGCTCGCTCGCTGTTGCTGTTGGTGTCGACGGTCGGTGGTGTTGGCGCCGGAGGTAGGAGCGGTTGTTGGTGTACTTGATGTTGGGGGCTGCGCGCTCAGCAGTTGTATGCAATGAAAGTGCTCTCAAGCGAATCCCACCATGTCGTGTCTGTGGCAGCTGTTAACCACCTCACATCGGTACTGTCGTAGTGAAGGTATCGTCGTGGATGGACGGCGTCGTTGGCATCGCCGCCCGTGGCTTCGTCTTTGGCGGACGTTTGCAAGGCCTGCAAAAACTTCCTCATGTCGTCGTCCCACCGCTTTCTTTGGCCGCCATGCTGCCTGTGACCTTGCTGTTTCGCGTCGAGACTGGGGTTCCAGTTCAACGCTCGGTGTGTCCATCGGCTCTGCGGATGGCTTCCAACGCGCGCGGTCCAGCGCCAGACCTTTGCGCGGTGCATCTGTACTACGTCAGGAGTGTCGTGCCTGTTCATGAGTTCCTCTGCTCTGCGTGTGCTCCGGCGTATGAAGTCAGACCACAGCTCGTCGTCCCGCGTCTGCTCGTGGGTGTGGAGTACGTCACTGGTGTCTTCTCGTGTGCTGGTCTGCTCTGATGGGGGAGGGGGGTCGCTGGATGCGTCGCGGTCGCTGGAGTCGTCGGGATCGTCGCTGTCCGCGTCGCGGTGGCTGTGGTTGTCCCACCTTGGGGCGACGTGCGTTCGCAGGGCGGTCTTTGTGCGCCTCCTCGGGGTTCCGATGATCGCCCGGAGCATTCGTCGTTGAGTGCGGCGTAGCTGTTGTCTGAGCGGTTCCGTCAAGGTCCACGCTTCTGCGCCGTATGTCATCGTGGGTATGACGGTGCCATGGTAGAGCCGCAGCCTGTCTTTGAGTGGGTAGTGCTTGCTCGTTAGCTCTTGTCTGTGTCCTGTTAACCAGCCCACGCCGCCTGTATGCGATGTTGGATTTCGGTCGTCGCTGCGTCTTGGAATGTAATCGTCTGACCGAGGTACGTCAACTTGCCGGTGGGTGGCAGTATTGCAATGTCCATGGTTGCAACGTGTGCAGAGCGAGTCCGGGTCCTTAATTGGTTGGTCATGATTTTTGTATTGGTCGGGTGTAGTTCGAGGCCGTGTGGTTTTGCTGCTGTGGTCAGGTCTTTGAGTATAGTCTTCAGATTGGGTAGGGTCTGGCTGATTAGCAGAATGTCGTCGGCGAAACGGAGGTTGGTGAGAACAGACTGGTCGGTGTGCGCCAATTGGACTCCTCTTCGTCGTCGCTGCCATTCTGGAATGAGTGGTGCTAGAACGTTTTGTAGTAGAGCGTTGAAGAGTAAGGAGCTTAGGGGGTCGCCTTGTTTTGTGCCGCGCCGCAGCTTGAAGGGTTTGCTCGTGGAGTCTGTGCGAACCACGGCTGTTTGGTCATGGTAGAGGGGTTGGAGCAAGTGGACGTAGTCGGGTGACACGCCCTGGTTACGCAGTGCTGCCCATAGGCTGCTGTGTTCCACCGTGTCGAAAGCTTTCTTGAAGTCTACTGCTGCGATGCACAGAGTCTGGTTCCATTCAGAAGCCCGTTCCCGTAGGATGTTAAACGTGAAGAGGTGGTCGCGCGTGCCGCGTCCAGGTCGGAAGCCTGCTTGGTCGTCTGGCTGGTGTTGGTCGAGTACTGGAGAGAGCCGGTTGTATGGCAGACGACTGAACAACTTGTAGAGCATGGGTTTACTGCTTATCGGACGGTAATTTTTGTGGGAGAGTCAGATCACCCGATTTGGGAATGACTGTAATCACCGTCTTCCGCCAGCTTGATGGAGTCGGGGCGTCTGGCTTTATGACCGCGCTGTACAACTGCAACAAGGCATGATGAAGTTCCGGGCATTGGCATTTGAGCATCTCGGCCTTGATTCCTACGCTGTCGGGTGCCTTTCCTGTCTTGAGTTGCGAGATTGCTGTTTCGAGTTGTTGCGCTGTGATGGGTGGGATGTGGTTCTGGGCGTCGTTCGTGGTTGGTGGTGCGTCGTGGGTGCCGGTGGAGTTGTACAGCTCCTCGTAGAAGGTCCCGAACACGTCGGCTATCTCCTGGCGGGCGGTGTACTTGGTCCCGTCGCTTCCGTGCATCTCTGTGATCAGCGTCCGCTGTCGTCTCGTCTTGATGGAACTAATGCGTTTGAGACCTTTGTGCTGTTCCAAGATAGTGCCTATCTGCTGTCTTCGGTTGCTGCGCTTCTGCTGTCGGATGTGTTTTCGTATTGTTTTGCTAATCGTTCGTCGTCCGACCGTGTCTGCTCTTGGAATGCCCTTGCGCTTGTTCACGAGGTGGGCGATGATGTCGCCGAGGTTGCTGTCTGGATTGTCGTTTCTGCTGGCGTCGGTGGTCGTTGTGGGTGAGGAGGAGGAGGAGGAGGAGGAGGAGGAGGAGGAGGAGGAGGAGGAGGAGGAGGAGGAGGAGGAGGAGGAGGAGGAGGGAGGAGGAGGAGGAGGAGGAGGAGGAGGAGGAGGAGGAGGGAGGAGGAGGAGGAGGAGAGGAGGAGGAGGAGGAGGAGCAGGAGACACCTCGGGGGGCGCGTCCTCGCTTCGCCCCCCCCCCCCCCCCCCTTCCTTCCCCAAGGGAGGCCGTGGTCCCACCCTGCACGGACGCCCCGGGAGGGGAGCCTCGGCGCCCGGCCTTTGGCGCTCGGCAGCGGGCGGGGCGCCCGGCAACGGGCTGCAGAGCGTGAATTGCCTACCCCGCTGGCCTACACCTTAGGCGATGCTTAAGAAAACCTAAGTTTTCGGCCAGGGTCTCGATGATTCTTAACGTTTCGATGTGAATCTTAAGATTTTAGCAGAAAGGTTGGGTTTTTTATTCAAGTTCTGAGACTATGAATTTCTTAACCCATGATTTCTTAAGCATTTCGCAGGGTGTATGCTTCTGCTGGGGTCGGCGGGATGGCGCGGAAGTATGCGTACATCTGGAGATTCGGCTCAGCGAACAGTGCAGCATCGCAAGAGAGAGCCCATCTCTCCGCGGCACTCTTCGGGCCGCATCGATCTGTGATGGCTTCTGGGCCCGGAACTGGGCGATGACGCTGGGTGTGAAAAAATTAGAATTGCACCGCCTGGGTCTCAGGTCATCGCGCGGAGCGATGCGCGAAATCAGTGTGCGCCTCTCTGTGGGGTGGGGGGGGGGGGGGGGCAGCTTCCCCCGGTGGCGAAAGCCTTGCCATTCTTACCTCGGAGCGTGAATTACCTGCCCCGCCTTCGCTTCCAGGCAAAACCAAGCCATACCACGCGCCTCCTCGTCAAGCGGCCTGACCAGTGCAGGCTGCAATTTGGCATCGTTTGGTATCTCTTGGAAGCGAGGGCGGTCAAAAGCGAGGTAGGTTTGCTTTCCCCCCTAAGGCTCCCCAGCCTCAGATCCGGGCGCTGCAGTTTTCTCACGGCGGGCGTTTTTGTTGCCCGGCCTCGGGCCCCGGCTCGCGAAGAGCCGCAGAGGAGTTGGGTACAGAGGGTGCGTGTGTTGCTACTGTTGTGCAACTTGTTCGCCACGTCGGATCTCAGGGCACAGGGGGTCCGAGTAGATCAGTTCGGAGGGTCGCGCCGCATCGCCGACGCATCGGCGATGCGGCTCGAAGTGAGACCCGATGTTCTCCATGCCGACGGCGCCGATGCATCGGCGACGCGGCGTCACCCTGCGACCCTACCCACTCTGACCCGCTGTGGGTGGCCTCCCGCTTCCATGGAGGGAGGACGGGAAAACTAGCACCCTTCCGGCACCCCCGTGGCCAGTGGTGGCAGCTCATGAGAGGCCGTTTTTAGGACTTCTTTAGGGCCAGTACATTTGGAGATCCGGCTTAGCGAACAATGCAGCATCGCAAGAAAGAACCCATCTCTCCGCGGCAGACTTCGGGCCGCATCGATCTGTGATGGCTTCTGGGCCCGGAACCGGGCGATGACGCTGGGTGGGAAAATATTAAAATTGTACTGCCTGGGTCTCGGGTCATCGCGCGGAGCGATGCGCGAAATGAGTGCGAGCCTCTCTCAGTGGGGGGGACAGCTTCCCCGGTGGCGAAAGCTTTGCCGTTCTTACCTTGGGAACCCCCAAACCGGGTTGTGAGATACCAGGTGGCGACCTGGAATCCCCAAAAAGGTCACCGCTGGGTTTGGGGATGCGGGGTCACCACCGGGTTTTGTGACTCCTGGGCCCACCAGTGTCCGGGACATCCTCGGAAAACCACACGAGTCCCCAAACCGGGTGGTGACACCAAATCGCCCGAGACTCACCGCCAGGTGTTGTCATCACCACGTTTGGGGACTACCAATTACCCCGCGGCTGCGGTGGCTACGGAGTTGTGGCGCTTCAGGCTCTGCTGCCTGCCGCGAGTCGCGGCATGCCGAGAGAGAGAGAGAGAGACGTGGCTCCGGCGATCTCGGGCCGCCCAAACGCGTGTCGTTCTTGGCCCCAGAGGTTACTCGGTTGAGAGCTCTTAGTAGGCGGCAAACAAACCTACCTCGCTTTTGACCGCCCTCGCTTCCAAGAGATACCAAGCGATGCCAAACTACGGCCTGTACTGATCAGGCCGCTTGACGAGGAGGCGCGTGGTAGGACTTGGTTTTGCCTGGAAGCGAAAGCGGGGTAGGTAATTCACGCTCTCACTTAGGCTCGCGTTTGGTGGACCTGGTGCTGTTCGCCCCTCCGCTGCCGAGCGCCCCGCGCGGCGCCCACCGCGCGGTGTCCTCGGTCAGACCTGCAGGGGCAACGACAGGGGGGGGGATAAGGCTCGGGGGGGAACGCATCGATAGTCGAGGCGGGAAGCACCGCGGAATCATGCACTTTCGACGGCCCGCGTGGATGTCTTGGACTTGGACCTGCGCTGGCCCTCCGCTGGGCATCTCTGGCGCCGCCCCAGACGCACTGCCCGCGCCTGGGAGGGGGGGTCGGGCGCAGATCTAGGACATCAGTGCGAACCGCCAGAAGTTTATGTTGATACCATTTTCAAGAAACGGCAAACACATACACAACATAGAGGAAGAAGCGCGTTATTCCTCTAGCATCGTCCCTCCATCGCGCACCGATCCCTTCGAGGTGTACGATGGCCCCACCCCCGCCCAGGAGCGTGCGGAGTTGCTCTCGGTGGTTCGGGTCGGGCGAAAGGGGGGGATTGGGAAAGGGGGGGTTACGAAATTTGCTGCATGCAGCTGGTTTCGGCCCCACCGTGGGGCCCATTCCTCGATACATGGGCGCCTCCCGGCGCCGGGAGGCGCCGGGAAAATCAGCTACGTGAGCTGATTCTCAAACCCCCCCTTTGCTATCCCCCCCTTTCGCCCGACCCGAGAGAGTTGCTCTCGGTGGTTCTTCGCCGCTCCACATCGGCGAGGCAGCGCCGATTCCGGGCCGATGCCTCCCCCCCTTGGGGCCAGAGTCCCCCGTGGGCGCTCGGGCCACACCTCGGGCCTCCGGCGGCCGTGCGAGACGACCCGGGAGCCCCCGGAACGTTCCCGGCGAGGCGCAGCCCCTACCCCGAGGCCGACACTCAGAGGCGTGTTTGTTCCCACTTGGATTTTGAACGAGTCTCCTCCTCCTCCTCCTCCTCCTCATCCTGCTCCTCATACTCCTACTCCTACTCCTACTCCTCCTCCTCCTACTCCAGATTTCGTAATAAAGGGAGGCGGCTCTCATTTCGGGGGGGGGGTCTCTTCCAGGCCATCTTGGAGGGCCTGGGGGGGTCTGGGGACGATGTTTCGGAGGGCTCTCCCATGGGGAAGGTCTGAAGTGGCTTGTCTTGGAGGGTCCCGACCCCCTTTCATTACGAAATCTGGAGTACTTTAAACGAGTCGTGGGCGGAAACGTAATCACGAGTCCGCCTGGGCCCCTGTCGGACGAGCGGAAATGCGAGCGCAGTGGCGCGCGCGGTCGCGGGCGACCCACCGCTGGTAACAGCGTGAATGCGCGGGCGTCGCAGCGACGACGACGGCGACGACGACGGCGGCAACTGCGCCGACGGCGACGACGGCGGTAATGGCGACGGCGGCGACGACGAGCATCGCGGCGACAGTGGAGACGGGGCCCGGGCCCACGGGCGAACTTGCGCCCCGCCCTCGCTCCTGGAGTCCCGGGCCAGGTTTTATGGGAGGAGCGCAGTTTCTGCGCGCAGTTTTACCCCAGCCGTTCCTCCGCTGTACAAAAGGTCAATCATCGTTTCAATGAAATGTCGTTGTTTCGGAATGTATCGAGCGGCGCGCCTTTACTGAAGCCGCTTCTTCGCTTTAGCAAAGCCGCTTCCTCGCTTTAGTAAAGCCGCTTCCTAGCTTTAGTGAAGCCGCTTCCTCGCTGCAGTGAAGTCCGCGGTCTGCCTGGATAAAGACCTGGGCATGCGGTGATGATGCGGGGCCTGCGCCTGGTCGGCGGGCGGGGGGGCCCTGTCCTTCCTGCTAGTTCACCCCGCGATGAATTTGCTCGAGTTGTCAGGGTTGCGTTGCATCGGGTCGCGGCTTGCAGATGCTCCTCGATAGAAAATTCAGGGCGCGAACGCAGGACGTGGCGCGGCAATTCGGACGCGCCGCCGCGGACGTCGCGCAACACAGCAAACGCACTTTACTGAAAAGTTTCTTCTTCTTTTTTCTTTAGCAGATAGCTCCTTCAAGGTAATCGTGTGAATTTCCCGCTTCCAAGGCACGCCGCCAACGAAAACCAGACCCCGAGCATAGAAACTTCGCCCCCTCTGTCGTTGCCCCCCAGACCCAGCCGTCGCGCGCGCGGGGCTGGCCGGCTTCCAGCCCTCTCCCGGGAGCCGGGCGCCCAGCGAGGAGCCCCGCCGCCACACTCGCGGGCGCGCCGGGAGAAACGGCGGCGCGCCGCGGCTGGGCGTTCACTGCGATTCGGGAACTTTCGGATGGCGTGCCGCGCCGCCAGTTCTGACCCCCCACGCTTCCGCGCGACACGCCATCCGCTTGCCAGTCCGCAGGCATCAACGCCCCGAGATCTTCCGAGCCCCGCCCCCCGCGGAGCGGGACGCGACGTCTCCTTTGCAATGCACAGCGTGTCGCGGGGGCCGCCGCGGCGACACGCGAAGCAAGAGTTCCGACCAGTAGGGGGGGATAGGCCCAGTGGGTCTTGAAATCTGCAGGGCTGCTTTTGCTCCGCCGGTCTCCAGAACTGCTGATTTTGAAAATGAAAGCGGTGAGAAAATGGTTCGCCGAATCGGTAAAGAAAACGGCTCCGGGCTTGAAATTGGGGCCGGAACCATACACAAAACGGTGAGGTAACCCAGAAGAAATTGCGCCAGAACCGTGAAATCAACAGCAAAACAGAAATTGAAAAACAAATTGTCGTGTCGTTTTCAAAAGCCATTAAGGGATATAGGCTCAGGGGGAGGGGGAAGCTTCGATGTTCCAGGTTTTCGGACGGTTTCGTCAGTTCTCGGTTGCTTCCCAGCTCCGGGGTTCCTTCCAGCGGCCACGCCTCGCCGAGAGTGTTGCTGGCCAACCCCCAACTCTATTGCACCACCCCATTTCAGCTGGACCCCCTGTTGTTGGTCACGAGAGGCGTTCCGGGGGGGGCCTGGATCGCCTTGGACGGCCGCCGGGGAGCCGAGCCATGACCCGGAGGGGCAACGGCAGGGACAGGGTAGTCAGGATCCGGGAGGCGGCGCATCGACTTCCGATCACCAATGGATCGCGGGCAGGGGCCCGAGAGCTTACCCCGCTCAGGAGCATGCGGGCCCCACTCGCCCATGGATCGCCGATAGTGGCCCGACAGCCCACCCCGCCCAGGAGCGTGCGGATTCGCTTTGTCTGGGGCCTCTCGCCGATCTGTGATCTATCGGCGATGCATGGCTGATTCAAAGTTCGGCGTTCCCCCCCCCCCCACCCACTGTTGGACCCACAGTTTTGCCGCCGGTCGGGACATTTTTCCAGGGAGGGTTGCCGGGCGCAGTGGTCCGGATCGGCCACCCCGGAGGCCGTGTGTTGCTGTGCGGCGTCGTCGTTCTTCACGGCAATCTATTATTTCTACATCCTTTCTCCATCCTCGTCGTCCTCCCCTTCCCCACACGACGAGGCTGAGACCCGAATTGCTATTCGTAAGGCAGCTAATTTGCAAATATAACCAAGGCCAGACACCACGCATAATATGTATATATTGAATTACCCGTTGCTAAGTTATTCATCTTGAGCACTGACGATCAGGGTGTCTCCGAGCGGGGCCCCGCTTCCCCGCGTAGATTCCTAGTACGACGGCGTTTGGCCTGGCTGGGCGGGAAAGCTTTCAAGGGTTCTCCCTCGTGTGCTATATAACCAATTCAGGTTTGAATGTCTCCCCTATAAATTCACAAGGGGGAAATAATTCCCGGCCACGTCCATTCAAGTGTGAATGCATCACCGTGTAAAATCACAACGACACAACCACTCACAGACGATTTCTCACCACAGCGCCCAAGCATTTCAATGCTAACCAAGCTGGATAGACTTTCGCATGGGCGATATATGTGTATACATATATATATATACAACTACAAATATATGTGTGTGGTAATTGATGTGCACATCATCATAGCAGTACGTAGATACATACAGACAGACAGGCATACATACGTAAATACAGTCATACATGTATACATATATGGACATGCAAACATATATATATATATACACATACATACATACATACATACATACATACATACATACATACGTTCACAGTCATGCATATCTGCATAGCTGCATGCATGCGGGCAGGTATGCATGCATACTCACGTAATGCATGCATGCATGCGTTCAATCATACATACATGCATTCACACAAACGTACATACATAATTATATACATGCATACATACGCGCACACACAGTCATACATGCAAGTATGTGAAAATCTAGAGCTATATGAAAATGTGTGGGGCGTGCTTGTGTGTGTGCGTGTGTTTGCTTGTCTGTTCTCCAAGCAGTGCGTGTACTCAGGGTTTCTAGTCTCTGTTCTAAGGACCTGGGCCTGTCTGTCGGTCTGGTGGCTATGTTGTCGCCGTCTCCGCCTCGCGCCGCGAGTCGTCTAGACCTGCTTGTCGGTCTGGCGACTTGGTCGCCGTCGCCGCCTCGTCGCCGCCCTAGATTGTGCAACAGATATTGATTCGCATAGATTGCACCACAAAGATAGCGCCGCATAGGTTGCACCACATCGGCTCTTTTTCCTGAAGATAATGGGTCTACTCCCCCTCTCAAAAACCCGCGTTTGATTTTGACCCATTGTTCAGCTTAGATATGAGTTCATACCATTCCAGTCAAGTCGGTACCGACTCCCCCTTTAATCTTTGTCAAAAATAGTATGCGCGCGCACGGCTTCATCATCAAATATTGAACGATAGGGCTATAGGGCTCTAGGGCTACATGGCTAAAGGGCATTTGGGCATCCTGGCACCCCGGCGGGCCGCCAAAATCGGCGACGCATCTCCTAGGCACCCGGGCACCCGGGCACCGGGGCGTGCCGCCGAAATCGGCGGCGCCGCTAACCTAACCATATGAATCCGCTAGGACTCCTACATGTTTTTGGCCTTCTCGCCTTTTCGCTTCCAACGGGCTCTTGAGGCCTCAAGACCGCCCCAAGATGGCCCAAGAGAGTCCCAAGAGGGGCCCCAGAGAAGCCCAAGACGGGCCCCAGAGCGCCCAAGATCGCCCCAAGAGGTGCCCAAGAGGGCCCCCGCTGGTACGTAGCCATTTTGGCTCAAGCGACATAGCGTCTCAAGCTCAACTTGAGACGAGGATTTCCTAGTGTGGAGTCCATGTCCGACACCCCAGAGTCTACTGGGTCGATCGAATCCCTCCAGATTGTTTACAGATCTTTTGGTTACCCATTTCTGGTGATGCATGGAGGCTTATTAGCGTTATTATTCGTTTTATGTGTGATGCGCATTTGCGCAGCATTTCGTTCGTTTTGCATGGCCGTCCGCTCTTTCAGTTGCGACCAAGTTCGTTGCAGGACTCATTTCCGATGCGCAAGTGAGCAAGACAGGAGGCTGGAAGCACAAGTCAACGAAGTCCGGAAATCCTATTTCTTCACATTTGGGCGAATACATGTTGTTGCACAGATGTGTATCATTGTATTCTGCCATATCACTTCTGCGAGTGCCGAGCAGAGCGTGCATCCACGTCATGGGTGGTGCACCGACGGAATGGTAACTCATTATGCTGCCTTCGCCCCCATGTACATATCCGCCACAGCCATGATGCTAATGCTTGGCGTTTTGCCGCAGTCAACGTCGACGGCTTGGTTGAACGCGCTGAACATCACGACGTCCTTGAGCGTCGTTTTCTTTTCTGCTGTGCCAGATCGTATTCGTGGTTTTCCGGTCGCAGTCGACGACAGTCAATTCCGTGGAGCATTTATGCTCCAGATTTCCCAGTCGTGGGCTTGTGGTAATCCAAAGTTGAGTGCCCTTCTAGTATGTTCCCTTGTACTTTTGAAGGCAATTCAGCAGTCCTTTTGCTGTTCGGATTTTTGTTGTTGCATTTCTGGTGTTGGCCTTGATGGCGGTCTTGAGTCTGATCGCGTTTTGGGGTTTGGATTCGTGCATGAGGCTCATGGCCGCGGTGTATGCGCGGGAGGCGGACGCCACGAAGCATGCGTCTCTCATCGAACGTCTCATGTCTAAGTCGTGCGATGCGTGCATTTATTTGGGACCTCGTTTGGAGATTATCAAGGGTGCCGATCAACTATGCAGCCTGCTGATGTGCAGGAGTGGCCCCGAAAGTTTCAATGGCAGACTATTCACTGAGTTTGCGACGGAGGATGAGAAACCCAGGGTATTGGAATTCATTGCAAGGCTGTCGGAGGCCGATGACGCCGAGCAGGATACTCAGGCGAGCTTTCTTTCCACAAAGCTTCGTGACACACTTGGAATCACTCTCAGGGTGCAAATCTGTCACGCTTGCTTGGGAAGCGGCGACGACCTTATCCACGTGATCGGCATCAACGAGGAGCAAGATGAGTGGAACACGCAACGCGTATACCAGAGTCACTTTGTTGCGCGATGTCTTGCGAAGGGCGCGGAAGGAGCAGGCCCGGCACTCGACTCGCCTGGGCCAAGCCGTGATAGGTCCGACACTTCAGAGTCCGATTCCTTCGATGACGACGATGGTGTCACCTCTGTTGTATCAGTAGGCACATCTGACTCTGGGATGCACGTGGCCTTTAACCTGATCGCTGGAAGCGGGGACGACGCCTTGCCGATCACGTCGTGCAGCCCTGCTCTCTCGGTCCTCTTTGGCAACTTCGAGCCTGGTACGTTACTTCGTTCTTTGTTCATGCAGAGAGATTACAACATCTTAGAAAAGTGGGTGACAGATACCGTGGTATCAGGGCCACTGGACCAACAGGGGGCTCAGACAGGCAAGTGGCTGTCATTTCGCCTCCGCAACTTGAACCGCCTGGGCGTGGATATCAATGCTCGCTGCTCCCTGGCGCCTTGCGGGGACGATGCCGCTAGCATGCGCTTGAGCTTGCTCGATATCCAGTGGCTCGCGCTGCAGCAAGAGCTGCCGCGGGCGCAGCGCACCGCCAGGGCACGCGGGAGACGGGACGGCCGTAGCCGCAGAAGCTCGTTGGGAACGCCTAGCAGTCTCCGGGCCAGTCCTATCGGGATCGGGAAGCAACTGCAGCATCTCTAGCCTCCTCCGCGTACCAGGTGTCATTCAGTTTCCAAACGTGCTGGCACGCTGTGAATACTTGAAGATTACAATGGAGCCCACCAGCAGGGCCGCTCCGGGTGAGGATGTCCACGTTGCCTCAACTCTGCTATGCTTTTCAGGCGCTGTGAGCGCCGAAAGGCAGCGACACCACGTCACCACGATGACCCATCCCTGTTTTTGTCCTTGATCGCAGTACTAAGCGCGAGGGATGCAGACGAACGCGTCGGAGCCTCTCGCTCTCGAGGAGGAGTGCGAGAAACAAAAAAAAAGAAGAGGGCCCCCGCTGGCCTCGCCTGGAGGCGGTACACACCGATGTTGGGCCAAAAGGTCAGAACGGCGCCGTTCTAGGCTAAAACAGTGCCGTTCTAGCGTAGAACGGGGCCGTTCTAGGTAGTCCGCTCTGTTCCCAACCCCCTTCTTCCCCTTCGGGCCCCTCCACAATTACTCAATATGAAAGTACTCTCCCTCTTCCCCTGATGGCGTCCGGGTGATGGCCGCGCATTCTCCGCGTACTGTTTTTTACACAGGATGCCCGGGAAATCCCGGGAAACGACTCTCGCTGAGGCGCCGGCGTCATTTTCAGGCCGAACGCCCCCCGCGTATTGTTTTTTTACACACAGAATTCCCGGGAAACGGGTTCTCGCCTGCGTTTTTTTTAATGATGCTCTCGCTGAGGCGCCGGCCTCATTTCTGCTCCCGAATCGTTCCGAATCGTGCTCCCGCTGCAGCGTGGGCCTCATTTTCGGATCGGTGTTTGGCCTCCGTCGTTCAGGATGGCGTTCTCGCCCCAGCGCGGGCCTCTTTCTCGCGCGCCCATCCGCCCGCCACCATCGCGCCGCACCACCACCACCACCACCACCACCACCACCACCACCACCATCACAACCACCACCAGCACCACCACCACCACCAGCACGAGCACCAGCACCAGCACCACACCAGCACCACACCACCACCACCACCACCACCACAACCACGCACACACGCACGCACGCACGCACGCGCACCACCACCCACTACGCACGCGCGCGCGGAGCCACAGGTCCGCTACGACACGCGTCCGCGGATAGAGAAAATCAGCGCCATGGTAAGGGATGGGAGGGAGGGGTAGGACGTCAGATATGACGCGAGCGCACCTAGCTTGCCCATACCCCCTCCCCCTGGACCTGGAGGGGCCTGGTCGCGAGTAGTTGGAGCGTCTGTGTTGGCCTTAGATGGCGCCAAGAGAGCCCAAGAGAGCTCAAGATGACCTCCAAGATCGCTCAAGACATCCCTCGATGACTCAAGATAGCTCGCAACATGCCAACAAGACGCTCCAAGATCGCCACAAGACGGCTCCAAGTTGCCACGGAGCTATCGGGCTATAGGGCTACAGGTCTGTAGGCGTATAGGGCTATTGGGCTACATGGCTATAGGACTATAAGGCTGTAGGGATATACGGATACACGGCTATTTGGCTGTAGGGTTATCGGGCTACAGGGCTATGAGGCTATTGGGCTCTCGGGCTATAGGGCTATGGGCCTGGCACGTCCCGCGGCACGTCCATTGGCACGTTCCGTAGCGCGTCCCCTTGGCACGTCCCGCGGTGCGTGCACATGGCACGTCCCTTGGCACGCCGCCTGGCGCGTCCCTTGGGACGTTCCGCGGCGCGTCCTCCTGGCATGTCCCCTCTGTCGATGAGTTCTGGGACAGCTACCATCTGCTCAGGCAGCTCGAGCTTCAGATCCAGATCAGTTCGGTCAGGACTCGGATGCCAGGGAGGACTCGATCCATAACGCTATATAGAGCACAATCGCGGCATGGAACATCGCAGTTCAGCACGGCCAGCACAGCACAGCCCTCGGCACAGTACATCAAGATCTGTACATTCAGCACTGCATTTGCCCGTCGCCCAATCAAGTGTCTTTGAAACGTTGCCATGCCTTACATTTCTATATTCCTTTCCGGGTTCGTGGGTCGATCATGTTTTTGGTCTCTTCGGGGCGATTTCGAAGGGGCGCCCGCCACGCACACTGAGCACAAACCTTACTCAGGCTTGAATGTTGCATTTGTCGCCAGTGCGGTCACCAAGGATAGCTTATGAAGCAGAATTGTTGCTAGTAGACGTGTGCCGTTTATCCGATGCGCCGTGCGGTGCGGCTCCACTGAATGATTTAGATCGCGCATTTGAAATACATATCTCTAATCAGTAAAAGGCTTAGCCCCATGCCGCCGGCCCCCTGTCTCGGATAATGGGATATGCAAAAGCTAAATCATGAGGTCTGGGCGCCGCCGTGAAGCAGTGTCGGGACCGGTTTGCTTTTCGACCCTGACCTTACGGATCTGCGTCAGTGGTGCCAGCGAATTTCAGAAATGTCACAAATGTCCTTTGTTTTGGACCCTGACCCCGCCGATCTGCGTGAGGGGCGCCACCGGATTTCAGAAATGTGGCAAATCCCCTTGGTTTATGGACCTTGACCCCGCCGATCTGCGCGAGGGGCGCCGCCGAATGTTTAAACATGTGGCAAATCCTCTGTGTTTGTTGACCCTGACCCTGTCGATCCGCGCGAGGGGCGCCACCGGATTTCAGAGAGAATCCCTTAGGTTTTCGGACCCTGACCACGCCGATCTGCGTGAGGGGCGCGATCGAATTTCAGAAATGTGTCAAATCCCATGTGTTTTGGGATCCTGATCCCGCCGATTTGCGTTAGGGGCGCCACCGGATTTCAGAAATGTATCAAATTTCAGAATGGCGCTGGTGCGCTAAGGTCTCAGCGTCCTGATTGTTCAACGCGGCGCACTACATCCACGGAAACGGCGAGACGGGCCTCACCAAGGAGGAAGCCAAGGAGTACAACACCAGCCTGATGTTCCTCCTCCCCAAACCAGCTGGCACTCTACCGACTGGGGAGGGCTACTTCACGCCTGCGGAGACCAGGCCCCTGAGCGTGGCGAGCACGGACAATCGACTCATCTCGAACGCCGTCCGTTCCGCCATTGAGCCAGCGGTCAGCCGGGGTATCCTGGAGATTCAACGAGGTTTTTGTTCGGTGGCCGTTCCATGCTGGCCAATCTTGTGGATATGGAGGAGGCGATGCTCCGAGCAGCGCTCAGCAGCTCAACGGGGGGAGCCCTGCTGTTCGACTTCGCGGCGGGTTCCCGTCCATCGAGCATAAGTTCATGTCCCGCGTCTTCGACCACCTGGCATGGCCGGCGTGGCTGAGGGGCTACATCGCCGCTCCGTATACAGAAAACTCTTGCGCGATCACCATGGGAGGAGCCAAACATTGTTGCTTCGACGTCACGAGGGGGGTCCGGCAGGGCTGCCCACTGTCGCCGCTCCTGTTCGCTGCCGCGATCGACATACTCCTTCGCAGGATCGTCCGTCTACTTCCAGGCGATGTCCCACGTGGCTACGCGGACGACCTCGCGCTTGCAGTCACGGACATATGGGCCTGCCTGCCGGTGGCGGAAAGGGTCTTCACCGACTTCGAGCGCGTCGCAGGGCTCGCCCTGAACCTCCGCAAGACGGTCTTCATCCTGCTCTTCCCCACGACCCTCCTGGAGGCTTGCAGGCGCCTGGCCGAGACAACCCCGCTGTGGGGAGCGTTGGAGGTCGCTTTCAGTGCAAAATACCTCGGGTATTTCATTGGGCCAGGGAGAGGTCAGCGCACGTGGGACGCGGCCATCAGGAAGTACCAGGACCGCGCGGAGATTTGGCGATCCCTGCACGTGGGCACGCTGAGCGCGGTCGAGGCGTACCGGATTTACGTGGCGCCAGTGCTGATGTTTTGCGCGCAGATCGACCCGTTGCCGCCGAACTTTGTGGAGATCGAGAACCGGGTGCTGCGGCGCCTGTTTGTCGGGCCTGGGGATTGGATGTCTTCTGAGCTTCTCAAAAGTCTCACGCTGTCCGGCTTTCCCCGCGAATTGTTCGACGTCCACTCCGCATCCATTGCGGCCCGTGCACGAGTGGCCCTGCACGAGAATTGCAAGAACGGTGGGCTTCAGGTTTCGCGCAGGGCGAACGATCTTCGGAGTCTCGCCACGGCCACCAACGACACTGCAGCCCGCGCCGCCGATGTGCACGCGTGGTACCAGAGCAACTTCCTCTTCTCACTGGAGAGCGCCGTCATCCGCGTGAGCGCGGCGGCCGCGGGGGAGCACGTCTTACTTGACATCCATCATCCAGACCACCCGTGGACGGGTTGGCAGGCCAGAGCTGCACGTCTCATCCGGCCAGACTACACCATGGCAGCTTTGGCACATATCCGTCGCAAGCGAAACCGATGGCAAGTCCGAACACTACCCGGTCACCGGACATCGCGATGGATCCGTGTCTCCCAGGCCGTCTCGGACCTCGTCGCGCCGAGGGTCATGTGTGCAGCAGTGCGCACTGCCTGCAATGGCTGGGCGACCGCACGTCGATTCCAGGGCCGCTCTTCGTGCATCATGGGCTGCACCGGGGAGGACGCGATTGAGCATTACGCGTTCTGCCGTTCCTACCATGACTGCTGCTCGCGGTACCTGGGCCTCCGGCGCCCGTCCATGGAACGCGCTCTGGAGGACTTCGTCGGCATTGACCGGTCCTCGACGGCATCGTGGGGCAACCCGGCGCTGACGGAGGCGGAGAAGAGCGCCCTGAGGGCGATATCCATCTACGCTCTGCACATGACGCACGCGCAGGTCCGCCACGGACTGCGGGCGGCCGAGGCAGCGAACGCCTTCCGCGGCCATCTCCGCGAGGCCACGCGGTGCCACCCGAGGTCCACAGAGCTGATGGTGAGGGCCTTCGCTTCGCGGGGCGCGCGGGCAACCAGAGGCTGATTCCCATTTTTCCCAACCTTCCCCCCCTCCTCTCTTCGCGCGGTTTGCTCGGTTTCTCTTCGCAATATTGCATGCAGTACGCGTGGCGGGGCCACCTCGGCGCCTTCCTTTCGGCCCGGCGCGTGATATATATATATATATATATATATATAGCGCGGGAGGCAATTAGCAGGAGTAGTTCGCTCGATGCCTGTAGCTAATGTACTTCGGGTTTCATTGTTTCCACTTTCGGGTGCGATTTATTTTCTCCGCCGTGCAACGCACGGACTAGTGGATACGAGACTGGGCATTTTCGTATCTGCCCACTCCTCCCCTCTCTCTCCCTCCTTCTTTCCTTTCCTCCGCCGCGTCCCTCCGCGATCCCATAATATTGCGTTGGATTTCCGGCAGTGGCCGGTTGGGCCAGGCGCCAGAGGGTTACGACACAATGTGTGCAACTCCGGCCCGATGCGTTTTGAGGGCAATTCGTATCACTCGCAATATTGCTTCCTACTGGTCTCACTCGGGATTGGAAC